TAGCCATGATGCTTAGCTTATTATCCCCCATACCGCCACCACAGTTAAGCAAGCACTGGCACTCCCCTTGTAATATAGTGGCACCGTACGGCGAAGCGCTTGGGTAGAGTTACGCTTTCAGGACTAGAAAAAGTCTGGTTCCCTGTTCCCACAAGTAGAGAGAAAATGCGCTCCTTTCTCCATCCCGAAGATGTTCCTCAGAAAAGTGGCGCATTCCATCGCGTCATTAGCTGTCGACGGCACGACAGTGAATCGCTAGAGGCTTCAATGATAGACGTAGTCCCTACTCGCTGCGGGTTTTCTTTGTGCATTGAGAGCCCAGATGGCGCTCCTGTCTGAGGCCTTCAGGAGGTAGCCTTACTGTGGTAATGCCCTGCTGCAAGGCAACAATAGCAGAAATGGAAGCTGTCCTCCTGCCCAACTACGCCAGTTGGCAGCAGGCCGAGCTGCAGGCACCTCTATACTCAGAGCTTCCAATTTTCTTTTAATCAAGTAATCCTATGTTCCTGACGGGAAAGTGAAGCGAATCGGTTGCGCCTCGTATATGCTTCAAGGGGTAAAACGTTAGTCATAATCTTGGATGTATAAATATTCGAGATCTAACACGACCTGGATATGTGCGACTAGCTCTCGGCTAGATTTTATCTACTAACGCAGATGTATTACACTTGGTAATAGAGAGCGGAGGAGTCCATCGTGGACAACCATTAATGTTAAAGGCTAGGGCGTTTCGCGAGTGAAAACAGCAGAGCGCTGAAAGGTTATGGATTAATGAGTGTATATTCTGTATAGAGTTATTTTTTGAATATGGAAGAAAAAGCTGCCGCCACACTAGCTTCGGTCTGAAAGGGCTTGCCTGCTCACCTGGAGATGGTGGTGCTCATTCTAGCTTACATGGCCTGCATTTCCGTGGACTGACTACCCTTCTACCACAGTCTGCCAGCTCGTGCAACATATTGCTGGAGTGCGCCATACTTAACTATTTCTACGATGAATGAAGCAGCAGACGGCAAACGAAATTGACAAACACACGATGCCATCCGTGTTGCTGGTCG